TAGGTTTACATGGCACCCGTGGGACTTCTCCCGAACTTGCGGCCTGGCTGGAAGCTGCTCGGTGGCACGCAAGAGTGTCCCAAAGTCCCTCCAAAGCTCTCTGCGCCAAAGTTCTCCTTCTCTCTCTCTCTCTCTCCCCCCTCCCCCCCCAACTGGCTGAATTGAATTCACCTGGCCTAGGTGGGCCAATTCAGGTTCATGCCCACCCATGCCTACCGGGGAAACCTGAGCCTCTGGGCGTGTGCAGTGCGCCACTCCTTTGTTCCCGTAGCTTGGCCCTCTGGGCATGCCTTAACGGACATTCCCAGCCCTTTGCTAACCTACCTAACGGATTCTGTGCCCTATTTTTTGCAGGTGAAGATACAGTTTTTTCAGCAGCATTTCAAAAAAAATCATTTTACTTGGGGCTCTTCCAGCTTGAATCACACTCCAACCATCCATCCATTGTGTCAAGCACATTTGTACATATGTTGCCATCATCATTTTCTTCCACGGGAAATGTCCTTGCTGTGTTCAGTGACTGCCCCTTGGCCCATGAACAGCTTCCACATGAGCTTAGGGAAGTGTTCTGGAATTCCCATCTGGCGCGATCCACATCTTGTTGTTGTTGTATAATATTTTGGGCACAGCACAGATTGTCTCTACTGTAAGTGCTCAGGGTGTTGACTGATTAATGTCCTGTCCTGGGTTCTGCAATCCTGCCTTATCACACCCTGTTTGGGACCCTGCTAAGCGACCATCCATCCATCCACCCACCCACCCACACATCTATCCACTTCCATTCATCCATTTATTCATCTATCCACGCACAACACCCACTCATCCACCCATTTACCATCATCCATCCATCCATCCATCCATCCATCCATCCATCCATCCATCCATCCATCCATTCATCCATCCATTAATCCACTTACCTATCCATCTGTCTCACCCATCCATCTATTCTTCTATCTTCATATTCATCCATTCACCTACCTATCCAACCCTTTCCACCTACCCAGCCCCCACCCATTCATTCATCATCCATCCATCTGTCCATCCACCCATGGATCCACTTTCCCACTCGTTCACTCACCCAGCCTCCTTATCTGTGCTGGGTCCTGTAGTCCTGAACACACACCTGGCCTGCTTCTACTTGCCAGAAACTCACAGGTGAGTGGGGACACGTGGAGACACATTCCAGCAGCCTGCACAGAGAGGTGGCGTCTTTGTCAGGAACCAAGGGTGGGTAAACCTGGGCTGTGGTGACAGAGAGAGGAGTTCATATTAGATGTCACCTTCTTGGACTTCCCCTCCTAACACTGCCCTGCCCCATGGCCTGCCCTCCCCCTCCGAGCTTTGTTTTTCCCACGCCCTGATGAGCACCCGACGCACTGGTATGTTAACTGGCTTCTCTTAGAGGCTGTCTGTCCTCTCCCTAGAGCAGAAGACAGACCAGGGCCGGGCTGCGGTCTGTTTTGTTTATCGTGCCGTACCCCCAGGACTTGTCAGAGGGTGGGCACAGGTGGGTGGCAGGTAGGGACAGTACCCAATCCGGGGAAGAGAGGGCACAGGTGAGGCTGTGTGGGCAGACAGCAGTGAGTCAGGCTGAGAGAGGGCCTAGGACTCACAGGTTGGGTTACCCAGTGGACTTGGAGGGGGAGGGGAGAGGCATCGGGGCACTCTGGGTTCCTGGCATGACTGCCCCCACACTGCAGAAATGGGGAGCAGACAGCATGGCCTAAGGAACTTCCAGGTCCAAGGTTGGCCGCTCAGTTGTGGAAAGTGCCTTGGAGCCTGGGCCCCTGAGGGCATTTGCTCAGCCCAGCCCAGGCCTGACACCTCCTTCTAGACTCTACAGCCTCCACCTCTGGCGGACCCCTTCAACGGGGCCACAGGCAGGCCTGCTCCCCACTCTGTGGGGGCAGGAACGCTGGCAAGAGAGGTCCAGGGTCTTGCCTGTGGTTGCAGTCACAAGTGACCGAGCGGGGACTTGGATATGGGCAGCCTGGCTCCTGCCTATACTCTGAGCAGCGTCCCTCTGGAGACTAGGAGAGGCACTGGAACTGGGCTTGGGTGTCCTGCCCTTTGCCCTTGTCTCACTGGCTCCCCAAACTGATGAGCTGGGGGTACGGCTGCCCCTAGACCAGCACTCTTCCTGTTCAAGGTCGGCCTGCAGGGCACCTGTGAGGGGACAGGTGAGAGGACATGTCTGGGCCCGCAGCCTCCTGCCCAGGCTGCCCATACCCGTCCCTTCCTGTTCTGCCGACTTTCCAGTCAGGGGAGTATCCGGGCAGTGGAAGAGTAGCCGCCTGGGTGGCGTGAGAAGCTAACTAAAGGGTTGGCCGGTGACACCTGAGAGCAAAGCCCGGTGACCTGTTTCAGGAAGGCCACCTCCGGGAAAGCCCGGGAGCCCCTGCATGGCTTCACTTTCACGGCCTCAAGCATGGCGCTCTTTCTACTGGGGACCAGAGAGAGAGCAGCTACTCCAAACGGACAGCGGGCTGGAAACGTGGGTGATGGCCGTGGGGCAGGGGCGGGAAGCCTGCCGAGGGCAGTGGGAGCGCGGGTACACAATCCCGAGGATACAGTCCACATCACCGAGGTGAACACGTCTGCGTGGGCCAGTCCTGCTGAGTGTGACCGCCACACACAGCCACCAACATGGAATGGGTTGGGTTCCCCCAACCCAACCCAACCCTGGGGGGCTGCGAGGGCTGGAATCAAATGGATGGAAGCAGACGGATTGTGTGTTTTGCAGAGCAGCAGGGGTGGGGTCAGCCTGTCTGAGACTCAGTGTCCCCAGAAGCCACCAACAGGGTGGCAGGGTGGCTCACGTGGCGCTTTTGCAGACGGTAAGGGGCTGACCCTCCATGAGGGTCCATGATGGCACTCTGGTGGCCACGGGGACCAGGCTCGCTGGCCTCGGAGGGACAGGGTCACACGTCCAGCCGTCCAGCCTGTCTGTCTCTGTAAGATGGGGACCACCAGCCCAGCCTAGCTGTGTTAGTCTGGTTAGACTAACACAAACAAATTCACAGACACTCATATGTATATAAGAGAGTTTTATATAAAATATAAGTGTACATTAAGAAAGCATCCCAATCCAGTCCAGCCCAAGCCTATAAGTCCAACATTAGCCCATATGTCCGACACTGATCTACAAAGTCCTCCTCCATCTCACAAAACACACGCAATGATGCCAACTGCAGGAGGAAAGCCGAATCAGTGAACGTGTAAGCATCTCAGGCTGGCAGGGGTCTCCACACGGCTGCTCCAGCACCCAGGGCTGCATCGGGGTAGGTCCATGTGGCTTCTCCTTGGGGGTGTCTTGCAGGAAGTGAGCCTTGCCAGCTGAGGCAAAGAACTGGCTAAGGCAGCTGCACTCTGTTCCAACCATCACAAAGCAAGAGACCCAAGAGCTAGAAAGGTGAGACTCACCGAGCCATTTATCTCTCCGCCCTTTAATTAATCCACATGTATTTATCGGCCACGTGGGCACTATAAACCTTAACTCTCTCACCAGTGAGGATGGGTGCCAAGTGTGCACAGGTGAGAGGTCACCGTTCTTACAACAACCTCCAGCCACCAGCAGACAGAAGGGACTTTTATCAGCCCAGCTCCCCTTCAGGGGTGCCCTGGATGGCTCGGCTACTCGCTCAAGTGGTTGCTCCTGCCCTGGGCTGAGTGGTCCAGGAGGACAGGGTCTCCCCTCCTCAGCGTGCCCTCCCCAGCCCCTACTGAGAGCTGGGCTTGTGCTGGTGGGGGACTCAGCTGATGGCCTCGGGGGATAGCTGCCCCGAGGGCTGGCTGTGTGTGTGTGTGTGTGTGTGTGTGTGTGTGTGTGTGTGCGCGCGCGCTGGACCTTCGTGGTCTATTGTCACCACCCGCTGGCGCTCCTCAGGGACTGGGGTTGTTTCTCCTGGGCCTCTGAGCAGCCTCAGCTGAGACAGTGGATGAACAAGCGAGAGTGGGATTGGAGGGCTCTCTGGACACTGAATGAGGAAGTCCGGAGAAGCGTCGTGCGTGAGAGTGGCGGCGGCGGCGAAGAGTATTGGGCAGCCTGAGCTGCTGAGCGAGCCGACACAGCATCCTTGGAAGAAGCACCGCCCGAGCTCCTGGGAGGCCAGGAGGGCGAGACTTCATCCTGCATAGGTTGGACATGTCGGGAGAGCCCCGTCCCTGGAGAAGGGCATCCTGCTTGCCAAGGTGGCGGGTCAGAGAGGAAGGAGGCAGGCCCTGGAGGAGATGGACGGACACAGTGGCTGCAGCCCTGCGCGGAAACAACAGGGCCTGTGTTGCATCGGGTCGCCGTGAGTCGGAACCTGGCAGCAGCAGCCCAACAACTGGGCAGAAGTACCAGGGGCTGCAGAGCCCGCTCTGATTCCCGGTTGTCCGAGCAGAACTGGGCTCCGGCGGGTCTTCCGTGGCTCACTTGTCAGCAGTAGCTCGGCAGGCCTTTCTTCCTCCGGGGCGCCTCTCCGTGTGTGTGTGTGTGTGTGTGTGTGTGTGTGTGTGTGTGTGTGTGTGTGTGT